TCCCTCTTTTTGTGGTTCTTTTACTTTTCCCTCGCCCAGACTTTAAACACTGATTGTGTTCTTTCAGGAGGCTTGCTTTATGTCCTAGTTGTTTTCCTTTGAGTTCTGCTTCATCTTTTAACAGCTCCACTTCCTGCTCCCCTCTTTCTTCCTTGACACTCTCCGTTTTTTCTATCTTTTCCTCCTCTTCATAGGGCTCATTCTCTATATCACATTCTTGTTTTTCCACGCTCTTAGAAGCCACCTGTTTGCCATAATCCTTTTTTATTTCCACAAATGCCTCCTGGACTCCTCTCCGCACCGCCTCTCTTATCACTCTGATAAATCTCTCCGTTTCTGTCTCTCCCCTTTCAAGCTCCTCTACTCGCTCCTCCGCATTTCCTTCTATTTGCTCCATTTCTCTCAAACAACACGGAGCCTCTATCAACAATATCTTTTTTCCCCCGAGTCTCTCGCAATTCACACAATCAAATCCCAATCACAGTTTCTCATAGCTTTCCTTCCCTCCTCCAAAATAAATATTTGTAAGTCCGTCCTTTTCGGTTCGCCGGCCGCTTTTGTTTACCTGTTTGGGCTTTGCCGTCTGGAGGTCTCGTCCGTTTTCCCAGCTGATAGTAATTTTTACCTCAATAGTTCTGCTTGTTCTTAAGTTCAATCCACACCCTGTCTCTTCTTGCGTTTGCGTTACTAACAAGTCTTTTTTCCACCCGTGCAGTTTTAAAAATCCCGGCGGCTGCGACTTTGCAAGATCATGGCAGCCATGTTTGCTCCGCCGTCAGTCTCTGCTTCTGGGGCGTTTTCTGGACACCCCCCGCATTGCCGATTGCGGGACCCCCTGCATTGCTGATTGCGGGGGGGGCAAAATAAAGCCCCTTGCTCCAGCAGTCCATACCAGGTCCGCTGGTCGGGGTTCCCCGGCAACCGGGGGCCCCGAAAGAAGACTAACGCGTTCGGGCGGCTCAGCGATTGCTAGAGCTCGCCCGTCGTCGCGCCATACCGGAAGTGCTCTCCAGAGAGGTTCATGGTGAGTGGGAATTCGAACCTAGCCATAGTCCAGTATCTGACTGCTATTACATATATTATGTAACGGTGAGTGGGGATCTGACTTACTCTTCTTAAAGCTGAAATGGCTGAGCAAGGTAATGGTTCCTGACCAGTTTCCCAGTCTCAGATAAATATGGTTACCAGCTGTGAGTTGGGAAATATCAAGAGATTTTGGGGGTGGAGCCTGGGGAGGGCGGGACTTAGGGAGGGGAGGGACTTCAGCAGGTGTCACTCTGGTAGGGTCTCCTCGGGAGGGCCCAGAGCACCCACCCTACCCTTTTATATACTCCTTTTCCTGTAGGTTTTCCCTTATAAGTGAGGCGTGAGGACCCAGGCAGAGTAATAAATTGTTTTTATTAGATTTAACAATAACTATAATTCAATTTAACAATAACTATGATTCAATATAATTCAATTTAGCAATAACTATAATTCAATAGGGGCTGCAGTGGCTCAGTGGTTAAGACACTGAACTGCAGACCGGAAGGTCGGTAGTTCAGCAGTTCGAGACCCGAGTGCTGCAAGACGGAGTGAGCTCCTGTCTCTGGTCCCAGTTCCTGCCAACCTAGCAGTTCGAAAGCAAGAAATGGGAAGTAAATAAATAGGGACCGCTTCGGTGGGAAGGAAACAGTGTTCCATGCGCCTTGGCATCTAGGCATGCCAGCCACATGACCACGGAAACATCTTCGGACAGCGCTGGCTCTTCGGCTTGGAAATGGAGATGAGCACCGCATCCCTAGAGTTGGATTCGACTGGCTTTCGAGCAAGGGAAACCTTTACCTCTCTGCTTAGAGGCATGGCTCAGTTCTTCCCTTACCCAGGACAAACAGGGTGGTGAAGATGGTGTTTTATCACCTACACTGAACCCAACACCTGCCCCCCTATATGTCCTGTTCTGACCTTGCCACCGTGATCCATGCCATGGTTACTTCCAGATTAGACTACTGCAATGTGCTCTGTTTAGGGTTGCCTCTGAAGATATTTTGGAAGCTTCAGGCGGTGTGGAATGCAGCTGCTAAATTACTGACTGGGTTCCCCTGCGTTGTGTTTTGGCATGCTTCATGGCCAAGCAAAAGGACCAATGCCAGTAAGTCACAAAAAGGGCCCTGGGCCATCTGGATTTGGCAGACAGTCCCAACTGTAGTCAAGTCCCCAGGCAAGAGTCAGGAGCAATGCCAGGAGTCAAGGCAGGTTGAGTTCCAAGAGGCATGGTCAGGTCTGGTTCAGAGGTTGAAGCACAAGAGGCAAGAGGCAAGGTGAATCCAAGAAGCGTAGTGAGGTCCAAAGTGAAGGTCGTAGCACAAGGAGCCAGGATATAGAGAAGAAGTTCAACAGGTGTAGTCAGGTGTGAAATAAAGGTCAAGACACAAGGAGTCAGGAAGCAAGGTAGATCCAAGGAGTCACTGGGAAAAGCAAGGAGCTGGAACTAAAGTTGTTGTCAGCTAGGAACTGGCTGTAACGGCGCAGTATTTATGGGACTGCAACAGCCTTTTCCTGTGCAGATATTCCATGTCCTTTAAAAGGAGCCAACAGTTTCTCCAGGTGTGAGCACTTACCTTACCTTACCTTCATGTGCTGTTTGTGTTAAGTGCCGTCGAGTCACTTCTGATTGATGGTGACCCTATGAATTAATGTTCTCCAAAACGTCCTATCATTAGCAGCCATTCTCAGGTCTTGGAAACTGAGCGTTGTGGCTTCTCTTATTGAGTCAATCCATCTCATGCTGGGTCTTCCTTTTTTCCTGCTGCCTTCAACTTTCCCTAGCATTATTGTCTTTTCCACTGACTCTTGTCTTCTCATAATGTGACCAAAGAACAATAGTCTCAGTTTAACCATTTTAGCTTCTGTGGAATCTTTAGGCTTGATTTGATCTAGAACCCACTTATTTGTCTTTTCTGACAGTCCATCATGGTATCCATAAAATTCTCCTCCAACACCACATCTCAAAAATATCTACTTTCTTCCTGTCCGCTTTCTTCACTGTCCAAGTTTCACATCCATACATAATGATGGGGAATACTATGGCATAAATAAACTTTACCATGGTGGCTAGCAACACTACACAAGGTTCTTTTCTAGCTCCTTCATGGCTGCTCTTCCCAATCTCCTGATTTTTTGGGTGCAGTCTCCCTTTTGGTTGATGATGGAGCCAAGAAACAGAAAATCTTGAACAATTTCAATTTCTTCATCATCAGCCTGAAAGTTGTGTAATTCCCCGGTAGTTTGTAATCATTACTTTTGTCTTCTTGATGTTCATCTTGGTGTAGTGAGAATCAGTTTGGTGTAGTGATTAGGAGTGTGGACTCCAATCTGGGAGAACCGGGTTTGATTGCCCACTCCTCCACTTGCAGTTGCTGGGTGACCTTGGGCAAGTCACAGTTCTCTCAGAACTGTTCTCTCAAGAGCAGTCCTTGAAAGAGCTCTCTCAGGGTGTTTGTTGTGGGGAGGGGAAGGGAAGGAGGTTTTAAGATGCTCTGAGACTCCGAGTGAAAGGTGGGGTATAAATCCAATCTCCTCCTCCTCCTTCTCTGCTTCTTTTCCTCCAAGCTTGCTTTGGCATTTTTGGTTTAATCTTCATCAGTAGCCATTCCAAGTCTTCACTATTTTCTGCCAATAACGTGGTGTTATCTGCCTATCTCAAACTGTTAACATCAATGTTCCCTCTAAACTGTGGAGTCTTGTGAGCAAAAATTCTACCTTTTGCGCTACTGGTGTTAAAGTTGTGAGCAAGCGATTTGGCTGCTGCATAAATTAGTTTGCTCTGGAGCTGTCCTTCCTGAGCAAAGACAAAAATCTGTGAGCTGGAGGATAAAAAACTGTGAGCTAACTCAGTTTAAAGGGAACACTGGTTAACGTGCCTTCCATCAATTTTCACTCCATCTTCTAATTCTAATCCATTAATCCATAGGGTTACCATAAATTGGAAGCGACTTGCCAGCACTTCACTCACACACCCCATGAGGAAGTGGTTGATATGATGGAGGTGGCCCAGATTCAAAGGCATCATGACTGGAAGACCTTGAGCCAGTCATGCTCTTCCCGATCTACCTCACAGGGTTGTTGTGTAGCTAAATAATCAGAGTTTATATCGGTGGTGATTGCCCACTGTCCAGCTAGTTAATCAGGACACACCTTTGTTTACATCTTATTGGAGGACTACACTACTTGCCATCTGGAATGCTGACTTATTTATTACTGTTTGTATAAGTTAGCTGATAAGTGTGTTTTAATTGTTTCAATGGGTTTATCACCTGTGGTAAAAGCCGCCCTGAGCCCTGCATTCAGGGGAGGGCCGGATAAAAAAAATCTAAATAAATAAATGGAGGTGTAACCTAGCAGTTCGAAAGCAAGAAATTGCAAGTAGATAAATAGGGACCACTTCGGTGGGAAGGTAACAGCGTTCCGTGCGCCTCGGCGTTTAGTCATGCCGGCCACATGGCCACGGAAACGTCTTCGGACAGCGCTGGCTCTTCGGCTTGGAAACGGAGATGAGCACCGCAACCCTAGAGTCGGACTCGACTGGCTTTCGAGAGAGGGAACCTTTACTTTTTAGGGTTTTTTAAAAGTGTCAGACTGGGTTTATTGACTCGTGTGTGAGAGAATGATCGAGCTAATGTCTCTATTCGGTGGAGGCCCGTACGGTAACTTGTATCTAAGGCAACCGGCGCGCTCCTTCCCCACCTGTTTTTACCTGAGAATTCCGAACGCCGCCGCTCGGCAGGTCCCCTCCGCGTCACCCAGGCAACGCCTGGCCCCGCCCTACGCCAGCCTCTCGCCCAACCAAAACCTCGGGCGCGCGAGGCGCTCGCGACCGCTCCTCCCCCCTCCCCCCCCCTCTGAACCCCGCCCCTTGCTAACCTCCTCCAATCGCACCCCGCGCCTCCAAGTCACGCGGCCGCGACGTCACGCAACAGGCCAGCGTCGCGCGACTCCGGCTCAGGCGTCGACGTCTCATCAGGCTACGGCGTCGGCGGCTCTGCCGTCCCCGCCCTCCCCTTCGGCGATTGGCTAAGAGAGAAGCGTTTAGCAGAGGAGGAGGCGGCGACGCCCATCACTTCACCGTTTTCTCCCCTTCGCAGCGGCGGAGGTGGCCTGGCGCACCTCTGGAGGGAAGGCGGGGCAGGAATACCTGGCGAGGAATACCTGACCTCAGGTAGGGAGCGAAGGGACGGGGGTCGGGAAGGGAGAGAGGAAGAGTCCCGGTGGGAAATACCTGGAGGTTTGGGGAAGGAACCTGAGGAGGAGGAGGTCAGCGGGGTATCATGCCATAGAGTCCACCTTCCAGAGCGGCCATTTTCTCCAAGGGGGGACTGATCTCTATCGCCTGCAGTTGTAGTCTCAGGAGATCTCCAGCCACCCCCTAGAGGTTGGCAACGCAGGAAGGGCCAATGAGAGGGGGGGGCAAGGCCATCTGACAGCAGTGCTGCTTGTGTGAACTTAGGCAGATCAAAAGAGGGAGGGCAGGAAGGGTTGCCTCAATGCCTTCTCACACGCCCAGGGAAATGCTGAGCACCCCTTTGGGGTCAGGAAGCAATTTTTCTCCAGGCCAGTTTGGCCAAAGATCCTGGAGGGTTTTTGTCATCTTCTGGGCATGGAGCAGTGGTCACTGGGGGTGTGGGGGGGAAAGTATTGTGAACGTCCTGCATTGTGCAGGGGGCTGGACTGGATGACCCTGGAGGTCCCTTCCAGTGTTCCCTGTAACCTGAGTTGGTGTGAGCTAGCTCACAGTCTTTTAGTCTCCGGCTCACACATTTTTGTCTTCGCTCAAGTAGGATGGCTCCAGAGCAAACTAATTTATGCAGCGGTCAAATCGCCCACTCACAACTTTAATGCCGGTAGCTCACAAAGTAGAATTTTTGCTCACAGGGCTCCACCGCTTAGAGGGAGCATTGGTCCCTTCTAACTTTATGATTCTAAGGCAAGGTAGGCTGGCTTCCCAGGATTCAGTGCAACACAAGTGGCGATGCTGTGACTCTCCCCCCCTCCCGTGCTCTCTTTCACATCTTTTTTGTGAGTCTCAACAGGTGCTTGCAAGCTCACAATCAGATGCCGCCACTCTTTTGACCAGACTGTATCTTTGTCTGCAATCTAATGCAATCTGATCTCCCCTCCCCCTCATCCTTTGCTCCTTCTTATGTGGTGGTGATGGACAGTGTTGTCAAGTCCCAGGTGATATTATGGCAACCCCACAGCGTTTTCAAGGCAACAGATGTTCAGAGGTGGTTTGCCATTGCCTGCCTCTGTGTTGCAACCCTGGACTATTACGGTGGTTTCTCATCCAAATACTATTCAGGGCTGACCCTGATTAGCTCACGAAATCTAACAAAATCGATCTAGCTCGGTCTATCCTTCTTATGAAGCTAATGTAGTACTTCATCTGTCCAAAAGATTAGGCTCTAGAGTGCAACATTTTCTGCCACAACAAGATTTTAACTTATGTACTGATTTTTTTCACAGTGACAAATTTATGTAATACTTAAGAAAAAGATAAAAATTAAAAATGTAATCTTTTTAAAAGTAAGAATTGGTTTCTTGTCTTAGTCTGGAGGAAGAGAGACTTAAGTTGGATGAAGGTTTCAAATTGTGCTTAGTAAGATAGTAGGAAAAATAAATAGGAGTAAGATTATTTCATGTTGGTCAATCTGGGTTTGGTTTTACGCATCATAGCTATGAAATATAAACTAGTCCTCCTACAAAGCCAAGGTTAAAAAAAGAGAGTAGGTTTTTGTTGTTGTTTTTGTTTTTCCCCCAGGGAAAAATCCATTTTGTGTGTACAAAACCTCTCTGAAATTGTTTTCCCCCCATAGCTTTCCTGTATACAAACAGATTTGGGAAGGGGATTTGCAATCATTAAGTGAACACCACTATCAGTGGCTTTCGAATCTGGATTGTAAGGTTTATATACACCTTTGCTGGGGGGGTTTCACTTGTTTCATATGGTTTTGCTTTTAAACTGGTGGTTATAGGAGTTGGTGTGCAAATTTGAGACTGCTGTATTTGGTAGGGAAAACTTAGGATAGCTTAATGCACTGTGGAAATGATTTGTTAACTCATCATACTGGAAGTGGCCGAAGCGCTTTGGGAGCCATGTGCAGTTTGATTGCAGCTCTTGAGTGACACACATGCCTACATCGCCAGGGGAAAAAACCTTGCCCGAGCAGCTTTGCAGCAATATATGAAAACAATAAAATTGTTTTTTTTAAAAAAGAGTAATAAAATTTCCGACTTTAAAATAATATATAGTAAAATCAGTAGTATAAAACTTGTGGAAGGCAAACCATACTCAAAAGTCATGTAAAAAATTATTTTAAAGCAGCCCTGACCTGAATAGCCCAGGTAAGCCCGATCTCGTCAGATCTCAGAAGCTAAGTAGGGTCGACTCTGGCAAGTACTTGGATGGGAGACCTCCTTGAAATACTAGAGGTGGGAAGTGGGGGCAGGCTTTATTCAGCCACCTCTCTGAATATCCTCCAGGCCCCCAGTAGGGTCAGTACCCAGAGATCGCCATGATCTCCAGGTGCACTTACACGCACGCACACATGCACATATTTTTAAAAAACTACAAAACATTTTTTTAAAAGCCTTGATGAAGAAAAATGTTTTCACCGTGTACTTAAAAAGCCGATAAGGTAGGTGGCAGGTGAACTTCAAAGGGATGGCGTTGTGCCCTGTCCTGGATAGCCCAGGCAAGCCCAATCTCATCAGCTCTTGAAAGCCAAGTAAGGCCGACTCTGGCAAGTACTTGGAAGCAAGCATCCAAGGAATACCAGGGCCGGGACGCAATGTGCAGCCAGGGGAAGGGCTGTGGCTTAGTGGAAGAGTTTCTGCTTGGCATGCAGAAGGCCCCGGTTCAATCCCCAGCATTTCCAGTTAAAGGGACCAGGCAGCAGGTGATCTAAAAGACCTCAGCCTGAAATCCTGGAGATGCGGCCGGTCTGAGTAGATAATTTTGACCTTCACGGATTGATGGTTTGATTCAGTATGGGGCAGCTTCTTATGTGTTCATAGGAACCTTCATATGAGAGCCAGTTTGGTGTAGTGGTTAAGTGCGTAGACTCTAATCCTGGAGAACCGGGTTTGATTCTCCACTCCTCCACTTGCAGCTGTTGGAAGACCTTGGGCAAGCCATAGTCCTGTCAAAGAGCAGTTTCTGTCAGAGCTCTTTCAGCCCCACCTACCTCACAGGGTGTCTGTTGTGGGGAGGGGAAGGGAAAGGAGTTTGTAAGCCACTCTGAGACTCCAAAGTGAAGGGTGGGGTATAAATCCAATCTCTTCTTCTTCTAGTCTTTACTGACAGTCATTAGACACCTCTTGCCTTAGTTCTATGGGAAGAGCACTGTTAACCAGGATCGTGATGATATATAACATGAACTTGCAGTTTATCTCTGTGGGTTAAGTCCCCCCTCCCCGAATTTGTTTTTCCCACTGTGGCTTCAGAACATCCAAAAAATTTATATCTCTACTTGCATCGCTTGTTAGTTTCATATGATACTAATAATATTGTATAATACATTCATTCAGTATTCTTTCACCATGTGAAAAATGGCATATAAATAAAAATGATTTGACCTGGACAGTCATCCAGGTGAATAACTTTTTAAAAAGGATTATTGCCTTTTTGGGTTTTCCTCCCTTCCCATTTACAGATCAATTAAAAATGTATTTACCGTTTTGCACAGTCTCCCAGTCACCTGAAAAACTTCAGTTACAGCTTGGAAAGCTCTAATGGGGCCTGATGTTATATTGGCAATAGCATCCATTCACTGTTAATTTTATGAAACAATGAGGTTAGGGTTAGACATTTTTTCCCCTTGGAAAAATTAAGGCACTGGAAAATCCTGCGAAGCCGGATCTGATGCTTTTCATTGATATTTGGCATCTCTGAACACTCATCTTGACGCTCCACAGGAATAATAAATTCAGGGGTCATTTCCTGCAGGAGTGCACAGGAGTGGAGTTCCGGCAGTAAAGAGCCCAGGGGGCGGGCACATGCAACAAGCCCCCCCCCTGCTCCCAGCAGCCCTCAGTCAGAGCAAGAAGCCCCCAAACAGTCCAGTGGCACCTTTAAGCCCAAGTTTTATTCAGGTACAAGCTCTCCCTCCTCTGAGAGGACAGATCTGCACGTCCCCCCCCTCCTCCCCAATAGCTAGCAATCCAAAACAGTCCAGTGGAGCCTGAGCGGTGGGTGTTGCCTTCTGACACACTTCCGGTGATGTCAGGGGGTGTGGCATATGCAAATAAGTTATGCGAATGAGTTGTGCTAATGAGCTCCTGCACCTCTTTTTCTATGAAATGACCCCTGAGTAAATTTATCTCAGATTCAAGTTCAGTAGCACCTTAAAGACTAATGTGTCTTCAGATACATTGTGATGTGCGTTACAAGTCCATTTATATAGGTAGAGGATGAGCAGCAAATTAAGTTTTGAGTCCAGTGGCACTTTTAAAAACCAACAAAGGTTTATTCAAGGTATAAGCTTTTGTGTGCATGCACACTTCTTCAGATACATTGTGATGTACGTTACAAGTCTATTCATATAGGTAGAGGATGAGCAGCAAA